GGTTGTGATTTGGATTCTAGAAAGTAGATCCAATTTGAATCTTAAGCAAACATCAACAAAAGTAATGTAGTATTCCTATCAATTACAGGATGTTTTATACGTGGGACCTCATAGATTAGAAACTATTAGTTGGAGAGGGGAAAAGGTTGTATTCAGGTTGTATTCGATGAGGGAAAGGAGAGAGAATGATGATTGACTATGGCACATGTATTGCAAAAAAAAAAAGTAAGACTTTTATTGATTGATAAAGTTGGAGTAAAGTTTTTTAGAGCTTGATGAATAATTGAGGGAGAGGGATGACCTAGTCTTCTATGTCATATGTCATATGTCAATTTGAGATGAACAATTTTCTGTAAGTGTAATACAAAAGTCTGAGATGGATGGAATTTCAATAATCTTGGAGATATGATTGATAGATTGTGTGCTTTGAGAATTTTGGACGATGCATTCAATTGGAATCGATATTAGCCCATTTTGGAGAGTCCCTTGGAGTAGTGTATTACCATTAGCTTGGTCCCAAAACAAAATGATGGATGAAATTAAACATTGTTATCTCTAGCAAATTGACTTATGCTTAGGAGATTTTTTGTGACAGTGGGAACATGCAATACATTTATAAGATGAAAGACGTGATTTTGGGGAGATATGATGGAAGAGTAATCAGCGTGGGTAATAGAAAAACTTGCTCCATTTGTTGTATGTATTTTTTATTCATTACCTACTTCATTGCTCATAGTGAGATTATTCATATCATAAGTGATATTACTGGTTGCTCTAGAATCAGGGTACCTATTGGTTCTTTGTTCAGGTGTGAGGACATACCATGCTACCATTTGTGGCTATTGTGTGTGAGAATTAGATGCTCGTGTTGAGTAAGGTTTACCAGAATTCATAGGTCTGGTGTTACCACTATTTATCATGCAAAAATAACACTTGTATGTTGTGTGACCAAATTTGTGACAAATTTGACACTGTATTCTATTGTGTGGGTACCATTGTCGTCCTCTTCCTCTATTGTTTTTGTATCACCCTCTTTGATTGTCTGTGTATTGACTTATGCTATTATCACTATGGTTCTGGTATGAATTGTTTTGATGTGGATTATTTTGTGAGTTGTTATATTGATGTGAAAGATTTACTGATGGCAATGTTACATCTGTCGATGTTGTCCTTACTGTTTCTTTTTCAATTCGGCTATCATAGAATAGAAGAAGAGCAGTTACTTCTTGAATAGAAACTATCCTAGTTTTGGCGGTAATCACAAAAATAGTAGATTCATACTCTAACCCTAGTCCAAAGATGATTGTTGTATAGATCTTCATTTGATATTGGTCTTCCTTGCAGCCTTTAAAGAATCGGTTAGATTTTTTATTTGTCTCAATGTATTCTTTTAGCTGGAATTTCCTTTTCATATGTTATGTAGCTTCATTTTTAATTCGATTACCTTTGTAAGATTTTTTGGCTGGTAAACATTTTATGAAGACTTTGCCATATTTCTTTTAAAGTTTTGCGGTGTAGTATGTCAGCAAGAATTCCTTCAGATATTGCTCCAAGAATCCATGACATGATTAGTAGAAACTCAGGCAGCAAGATTACAATTGTGCGACTTGAAAAGTGTTTGTCAAAAAGTTATTGGTACTTGCCATGTTTATCGTTCATTTTCTAGAACCACCACAACAACATTTGGCTACGTTAATTAATGGTCAGATAAGGTGATGAACCATTTAGAACCATTTTTTAAACTTCATGAATTAAATGTCCCTATTAACACCTTAAGGACCATATAGACACCAAACCGAAATCTCGAAGACTAAAACTTAAGCGTTATCACTTTCCCATTGGTAGAGGGACAGGTTAGAGGTCATAAATATGAGATGGGTCCGGTCAGATTAAGCGCACAGATATATTGGACATAAGACAAGTATGGGTAACATGTGACGCATCTAATCGAGGCTTAATTTTTGTTTTCCAATTTTGCATAAGTTGTTAAAAATGACTATATATGATTAAAATAATAATTATGAATACACCAAAAGTTAGAACCTGTATTGTCGGTATTTATGTCATAAAGTCTCGTAATTAATAAATATTTTATTATTTATTTAAAAAATAATTATTTAATTATTTATTTAAAAATAATTAATTATTTATTTATTTAAAAATAATTATTTAATTATTTTGATTGTACACAATATTTATAATCCATTTTTATTAAAATTGAATGTTATAAATGTAATATTTAACTATATGTAGTCGACATACAAGAACATTGTATTAAGTTATAATCTAAAGAGTCTATAGTATATGAATAAAGTTGGATGTCATATCTTGGTAATACTCAGGAATTTCTGTCTTTCTCATTGGTTCCTTTATCAACGCATGACAAATTGTAGCCCAAAGGAATGTTGCCCAATGGAAATAAGACTTTTTCCGACGGTTTTGGGCTAGGTCTTGTTACCTCGACTATTGTCTAAGATAGTCAGGATAAGAAGGCTTCTCCAAACTATTATTACATACCTTTGGGAGCTATAATTTAAATATATTTTTAAACAAGAACACTTCGACCATGTTCAAAAAGCGTTGGGCGAGATATTGGTTAAATTTTTTTTAATAATATGTTTCCTGATGGTTGTGAAAAACAGTCGATCTAGTTCTATAATGCATCATTCATTAAAAACACAGAGAAATGTTGTATTTTTGGTTTATTATTTTCCCGGGCAAAAGTTGTATAGAAAACAGAATCTCTCTCATTATCTAACAAATCTAGAAATTCCTTGTATTTTTTCTCTTTTTTTCCCGGGAGGAGGATCCCACCATCTAGGTTCTTATTGCTAGAGGATAGCAAGGTTGCTTTGTGGTGGTATCCAATCTTGGGTTTGTGAAGAATTGTTCGTGCTGTCACAAAATGTGTTCGAGGAAGAAAATATGTTAATGGTCTACAAAAGTAAGTTATCTTCCTCCCAAGAGGCTTAACCTCTAATCTAGAATAGAAATTTTTCTATTTTAAATTCGGTGACGAATAACTTCTAAACCGAGTTGAACCACAAGCGATCAGTCACTTCCACTGGGGATTCGATCCCATCAAAAAACTCATCAAAGGAGATTGAGATCTTGAGACTATTTCTCAATTTGTTAACTTCTTAAGTCTCAAAATTACCACCTTCGGTCTTGGAATCACTTTTTACTCAAAAGAAAAAAGTGATAAAGGATTGAACTTGAAGAACAAGGTGAAATAGACTTGGGAAGAAAATTTTAAATATGAATAAAAAGAAGTCGAAATAAGGAAATATTTATGCAATTACAAGTACCAATTCATGAAGCAGTATATCATAAGAACCAGATACTATTTCATTACCTTCAAAGTTCTCAGGCTAATATTAGGTGGATAATTTTAGACGTTTACCATACAAGTAGATGTGGCGGGCTTAGCAAAATATTTCATTACCTTCAAACATTCTAAAATATGTCTAAATTTGCAATTTTTTTCTATTAATAAGTTTCAGAATATGTGACCCTAATATAATCAACGAAAGTTAATATTTTTATAATACTAATTTATAACCATGGTAATATTTTAAAATAATCTGTAAGGATTATTTCGAAATGGTTGCAAAATGGTTTTACTAAAATATGCCTTAAGTTGAGGTGTAGACGAGGACCTGATATGCAAAACGAAGAACCTTACATACTGGAACCCCCAGTCTTCAATTACGTTCTTAGGGAAGACATACCTTTGTTCCCTTCAAGCAGGCTGAATAGCACAGGGACGTCAAGACCGAGCAAGAGGAAGTAGTCTTCGTCGGGGGACTTGGTTGAAGTAATGCAATTAGAGATGCGCATGCAGATAGTTGTTCTAGACAATATTGCAACTTGGCCAACCAAAAGAGATAAAAGAGCCTCTCAGAACTTGAGTCCATCTCTGGAATGACATTGGAGGACTGTTTGGCAGTCAGACAAACATTACTTGCGGACTACAATAAAGTGAACACATTCCTTGACTTCCCACCAAATTGGAAGTACAGGTACTACATGCATCTACTTGGAATGAACTCATAATCTTGCTACTCTAAATAGCATCTTCGTATGTTTTCTATATGATATAATTTTGTGGTAATTGACATATACCCATAATGCATCTATTTATATATATGTTTGCCAAAACGAACAGTTCAATGCTAATTGACATATACCTCCAACCAAGAGGTTGTGAGTTCGAATCTCCTCCCTGACATGTTGAACTAAAAAAAAAATTATTTGGCTAAAGATCCTACCCTAATTAATGTATTTGATACATTTGAAGGAAAATTTATATTTTGTTATTAGATATGATATACTAATAAAATATTTATTTGAACAAGATCCAAATACTATAAAATTTTAATACAGAAAAATTGCATTGAGTAGCAAAAATAATCTAGGTATTTAAAAAATGTCACCATCATTTTGAATTTTCAAATATAGCAAAATATTTTAATAGTTATTTTCGAATGTCTCATTATTCATATTTTACCTTTCTATTTTTTTTTTCCAAATCTTGCGGCAATTTTGTTTGCAGCTTCAGTTTGTGGGAACGACTCTCCTTCCTTCATAGCTTCAGTTCTTCGTTGGATCTTCGAGTTTTTACGCACGCAAATCTTCCTCTTCATTTTAGGGTGGTTCTTTGTTGGTTTAGAATCTTCATCCATGCACGCTCAATTCTTCTTTGTTCTTCGTTGGGACTCTTCTTCTGAAGGTACACTGCTTACTGTTTGATGATTGCTTTCTCGTATCTAGTATAATTTTTTAGAATTAGGTTCGCAATTAGCTTCAGAATTCTTCTTTGTTCTTCGTTTGGATTCTTCTTCACAATGTAAGATTCAATTTTTTAGAATTCTAGAAATTTCATATTGGTTTTAATAAGTTTTTCTGTTCATCAATTTGATTTTGTTATTCTTTTAGTGTTTCTATTACATTATTGTTTTTGTTCGTTCTTCACTCTATTTTAATATAAAGTATATTAGTGAGATATATCACGATTATGTATATTTGTTAATAATATTCTATAGACACTATATGCATTTAGATCTCTCTAGAATGTGAGTTTTCCTCCATCTCTGACGGCTCTCTCGGGATACTGCATTCCGTTGATTTCCCTTTTTCTTCTTCCATCACGTCTGCTTCCGATTTATTAGATAAATGGAAGAATTTCAAATTAACCTCAGAAGAGGAAGAGACTGCGATGGACATCGACTCTGCATCTATTGTGGACGTTGGCTCTAGAATCGAATTGAGTTTGGTTGGCAAATTATTCCTCAAGCGCCCAAGCTCCTGCTCTGTCTTGAAAAACACTATGAGAAGTGCATGGAAGATGGATCTCAACACTTTCAGTGTTGAAAATATTGGCTGGAATTTTTTCTTTTCACCTTTGCTCGTGCATCAGACAGGAATATGATTTATTTTGGAGGACCTTGGAGTTTTTGACAAATCCGTTATGGTTCTAATCAAACCGGCTTCTTTGATAGGCCTTCTGATCTAGATTTTACCAATTTATCTATTTGGGTACATTTCTATGATCTGCCTTTAGCTTGCATGACAAAGGCGATGGCTATTTGGCTCGGTAATAGTCTCGGCAAATTTGAAGAAGCTGATTGTGATGAGGTTAATCTTTGTTGGGGATCCAGCTTGCGAGTCCGGATCCTTATCGATATTGGGAAACCTCTTCGTCGCTGAATTAAGTTGAACATCGATGGCCCTATGGGAGGCATTTGGATCCCAATCCAATATGAACGACACCCTGATTTTTGCTATCATTGTGGTAAGGTCGATCATGTTATTAAAGATTGTGATATTTGTTTCAATGATGCAGGCAATCTGTTGTCTCGTAAAAAGCACCCTTATGGACCATGGCTCCCTTATCAAGGTCCATTAAAACCCATCTCTTTGGGTTTGAAACTTCACGCTGAGGCTCAACACAGCAGTTCGACAAGTAAGACGGCTTCAGCCTCTGCATCTTCTCATGGTGATTCTATTCAGCCGGAATCTATAACCTCGGCAGCCCCACAGGCAGCCTCCCTGGCACCAAAGTTGGTTATGGATATACCAATTAATTCGACAATTTCTAAATCGTGAATCTTTAATTCTGAGTCATTTATGGCGGGAATAAATGTTCCATCTTTAGAGGATGGAATTTCGGCTAAGGTCAAGGCCAAAGAAGTAGTCACCACTCAAGGGGAAGATTATGGTTTGTCTCAAGATAATATTTCATCTGCTCATTTATTGCCAGATCAATCACAATTATTATAAAATATTCCCCCAGCTACAACCAAAATGGACTTGAGTCCAAATTTCACTGGTAACTTGAGAAAATGGAAGCAGAAAGCGAGGGCTGGCCCATCTTACTTATCCTTCAAAGTTGCAGCCCATTCCAAATTTGTCTCTCCGACTGGCCCAAAGAGGAAGGCTGTTTCTTGGGTTCCTATCAACTACACCAACACTGAGGAAGCAGAAATCTTCATCTACATCAGTTCAGGCCTCTAATTCGGATAACACTGAATCGACGAAGGTTGCGGAGCAACCTCGCCGAACACCATGAAGACCATTTGCTGGAACGTCTGAGGGTTGGGGGACACTTAGATGTTCAAAGTATTACGTGATTTCTTATATCACGAAAACCCTCAAGTGCTTTTTCTTATTGAAACTAAGTGTAATGAGCGATTAACTAATAAATTTTATGCTTTTGCTCAGTTTTCAAGGTTGTTTTACAGTGAGTAGCAGCGGCCTTAGTGGTGGATTATGTTTACTTTGGAAGGATAATATAGACATATCTATTCGTTCCTACTCCCGCATCACATTGCTTGCTCAATCTCTTTTGACTCTAAAATTTGGCGCTTTATAGGTTTTTATGGGCACTCAGTATCTCATCATCGTCACACAACTTGGAAGATACTTCACCAGATTCATAATTGTGATGATTCACTATGGCTAATCGGAGGCAATTTTAATGCCCTAATTTGGAGCCATGAAACTTCCTACATCTCTTTTTATGATCAAACATATATTTCAGCATTTCGTAACATTTTTGATCAATGCTCTTTGAAAGATATGGGTTTTCATGGAAGCAAGTATACTTGGTGTAATAACCATACTGCCATTGGCAACGTCTTGACCGATTTGTTTGTAATGAGGCATTTTCTTCTCTCTTTCCTGAAGCTTCTGTTACTCATCTCAATTTGTCTAAATCATATCATCGGGCTATTGCACTGAATCTCTCCAATCCATATACAAACAGAAATAGAAGGACTATCAAGCTTTTCGTTTTGAGGAGTGTTGGTCTAAAACTCCAGAGTGTGTGGAAATTATCTTAAACAGTGGGCGTTAGTCAGATAGTGGGGCTTCTTTTTTCATTCATGGATAGTATCACACAGCACAACCGAACGTGAGCTGCTATACCGAATCCCCTTGCTTCTAGGCTCAGGGAGAAAGGCGCATCCTAGTCTGGGTTAGGGGGTTCTTCATGCTTCTTCTTTAGCTCTTCGAGAATGGGGTCGCTCTAACATCCGTGAGTTGTTTCAACAAATCAAATCTCAAAAGGCAGCCCTTTCAGAAGCTTACAATCAACCAGTCCCTCTTGATTTCACGGTAATTCACTCCCTCCAAGATGATCTCACTGGCCTCCTCGAATTGGTGGAGATTTATTAGAAGCAACGCTCCAAAGAAGATTGGCTAAAATGGGGAGATGGAAACACTAAATGGTTTCATAAGAAAGCTACTACGAGAAAAGCTTGTAATGCGATTCGGGGCATCGAACGTGAAAATGGCAGTTGGACAGAGGATATGGGAGAAATTGAAAGTATATTTATTGACCATTTTAGGTAAATGTTCTCTTCCTCTTCCCCTTCAGTTGCACATATTGAAGCCATTCCGGAACTTATTCCCACTACTATTACACCTAAGGTAAACTCTCGGCTTTTGGCACCATATACGAAAGAGCAGATAAAGATTGCTGTAAAACAGATGTTCCCTACGAAATCACCAGGTCCCGATGGTTTTCCTCTGCTCTTTTACCAAAAATATTGGAATATCGTGGGGCCTAAAACTGTTGAAGCTTGCCTCCACATCCTTAATAACAATATGAAGTTAAAGAACTAGAATAACACCTAGATTGTTCTTATCCCGAACAAGGTCAGTATCCGATTTTCGCCTTATAAGCCTTTGCAACGTTTCGTATAAAATTATATCTAAATCCATTGCAAATCGGCTCAAGAATGTAATTGGCCTAGTTATTTCGGAAGCACAGTTAGCGTTTGTTCCATGTAGGGCAATCACGGACAACATTATAATTGGCCATGAATGTCTTCATACTGTCAAAAGTTATACTTTTGGCCTAAATGGTATGACTGCCCTTAAATTGGATCTAAGCAAGGCTTTCGATCGCATCGAGTGGAGTTATCTTAAACAGATCATGAAGAAAATGGGGTTTGATGCCAGTTGGATTAGTACTATTATGTGTTGTATCTCTACGGTCTCTTTCTCTATTCTTATAAATGGCTCCCCGCGAGGTTTGTTCAGTTCCTCAAAAGGAATTAGGCAGGGAGATCCTCTCTCCCCTTACCTATTTCTTCTTTGTGCTGAGGGGCTCTATGCTCTAATTAATAATAGCAATAGATTGGGGAGATTAACAGATATCAGTTTTTGATCCAATAGTCCATGCATTTCTCACTTGTTGTTCGCTGATGACAGCCTTATTTTCCTTAAGTCCTTGGAGGTTGAGTGTCTTACTATAAAGGGTCTTTTGGAGAGCTATGGAAGGGTTTCGGGTCAATGTATCAACCTTTCAAAATCTGCCCTCCTTTTTTCTCCTAATGTTCACCCTGAGCATCAGTGTTACCTTCAAAGTATAATTCAGGTCAATTTGGTGAATGATTTTGGCCCTTATCTTGGTCTCCCATCACACTTTACTAGGCGGAAAGGATTAGACTGGAGTTTTCTAAAAGATAAGGTATGGAAAGTCTTGCAAGGTTGGAAGCGATCTTTTTTCTCAGTTGGAGGAAAAGAGGTCCTTATTAAAAGTGTTGGTCAGGCAATCCCGGCATATGCTATGAGTGTCTTTAGACTTCTAAAAGGCTTTTGCGTTGAAATTTCTCAAATGTTTGCTCACTTTTGGTGGGGTACAACAAATAATAAAAGGAAACTCCCATTGGATGAGCTGGGAGCGTATGTGTCTCCCAAAAGAGTTAGGCGGTCTGAATTTTAGAGATTTGGAAGGGTTTAATCAGGCTTTGGTGACTAAGCAGGTTTGGCATATCTTACAAAATGCAAACCTCCTTGTCTCCAAAGTCCTTAAAGCTAAATATTTCAACGACTCTTCTGTGCTCTAGGCGACTCCTATCAGAAATCAATCCTATTTTTGGCAAGGCTTTCTTTGGGGGAGAGACCTCTTATTCAAGGGGCTGCATCTTCGAATTGGCAATGGATCAACTATTAATGTTTTCACAGATCCTTGGATTCCAAGGCCATATTCGTTTCGGCCCATTACAGTCTCAAAAGGAACAGAGAGAATCAAAGTGGCTAATTTTATCAACTCTCAAGGCGAATTGGGACTCTAATCTAGTCTCTAATTTCTTTTGTGA